ATCTGTCAAATACTAATGCATGAAAATCCTAACCTCAAAAAAATCACAATGTATTTTAAGACTTTTCCAAAATATTTAGAAGAAATACTATGATTTGCGCGAGCTGGGCCTATTTGAAAATATCTAAAACATTTAGTTTTTTATACATATCTACATAAATAAAATTAGTTTAAAAAAAATAAAAAATTTTTTAATTACTTCTGATGATCGAAAAGTTTTAGCTTAAACGGTCTGTATAAAAATTTTTAAAAACTTCATTAAGAGTATCAAAATAATGAGATTTCGGGAGGTATTTTCAAATCGGTCCAGCTCACGTAAATCTTAATATTTTTCCGAATTATTTTGGCGAAAGTCTTAAAATATAACAAATTTTATAATTCCGGCGGAAAAAGCGAAACTTTGTTTCGGTGATGCACCCTAATATGCATAAAATATTTTCTATAAAGTTTCACTTCTACCGCGCGTAGGGACTGCATGCGCAAATTTTTTTTTATGAATTACATTTTTCGAGTTATTTTTTTATATTTTATTTAAAATTACTTCTTTGCATGTGCCTTGATTAAATCACTTTATTCAAAATATTGTCTTCTTAATACATGCATGCCAGCTCTTTAAAATTAAAAATGTGTGTGTTCGCAAAAGTTCTATCAGACACCCTTTATTCAACGTTTTCACAACAATATACATACATATACTAACCCTTACTATCATTAATAGCAAATTAATTTATACCAACATAATTACTACTTATTACTCTTTATAGTAACTCTTTATTATACATATCTATATAACCATTAACTAACTCACTTGTATGAATTAAATTAAATTAAATATATATTACGCTTACTTAAACCTGTCTATATTTAAATATTTAAAAATAAATACACCTTAAATAGAATATAAAAAAGTTACTTTATGTATTTTGTATAAAATTAATTAATTTAATCAATGTCAATAAATTTAAGCTTTCTAAATAATTACTAATCTAGTATTTCCCCTTTTATTTTTAATTTTTCCCTTATACAAATTTAATTTTGAAAAAAAAAACACACACTTTACCGACAAACTCAAACTCCGTTGGAAATCGATGCACCATAAAATCAGGCACATATTTCAATTGCATCATGTTTATGGTGGCATCATCGGTCGTGCTGACGGTTGTTGTGCTCAACTATCATCACCGCACGGCGGATATACACGAAATGCCGCCATGGGTGAGTAGAATAAACGATGGAAAACAAAAAAACAAGTGCAGTAAAAAATGTGTGAAAGCTCAAAGCACTTGCGTCAAAGCTTAACGGAGCTTTTAAGTGGATTTTTTTGTTTTCTTTACTGTTGCTTTGAAATGTGTGAAAGATTGCTGCCGCTTTCATGTGAAGCTTTTATTCTTATTTTCTTTACGATAGCTACTTTGCTTAAAATATTTGTTTCCTTTATTAAATTTGCCATCTTCCATTAGATTAAATCTGTTTTCCTGCAATGGCTGCCATGGATTTTACGTATGGGTCGCCCCGGCCGTAAGATCACACGAAAAACAATATTACTAAGCAATCGCATGAAGGAATTGGAATTAAAGGAACGTTCTTCCAAATCACTACTAGCCAATGTGCTGGATATCGATGATGATTTCCGGCATACGATCTCCGGTTCACAAACGGCGATCGGTTCATCAGCGTAAGTAACAAAAAAAGCTAAGAAGGAAATTTGCAAATTTTAAAGAGCATGATATGCTATAATACCCACCAGGTCTTGCTTCAGAAAACTACATACACAAATTATATTTCAGAAATAATTGTCTTTAATACAATGCATATTTATTTATTTCCTTTCACAGAAGCTTCGGTCGCCCCACAACGGTGGAGGAGCATCACAATACAATAGGTTGCAATCATAAAGATTTGCATTTGATTCTTAAAGAATTGCAATTCATAACGTCGCGCATGCGCAAATCCGACGATGAGGCGGAACTGATAAGCGACTGGAAATTCGCGGCAATGGTTGTGGATAGGTGAGTACCTAAACGAAAAATTTTAATATGTACTATATAAACCAACTTAATGCTATAGACTGAATTGTAAATTTAATTTTTATTATTATTATTAGGCTGGCATTAACAACCATATTGCCACGTATTTGTTTTTTCCGCGTAATAACTTTTCATAATCAAAGCTTAAATCAGATTATTTTAGAGGGGTTAGACCGCACCACTTTACAAAAAAAAAAAAAAATATATATATATACTCCCGAATCTAAAGTATTTTTGCAAGGTAATTTCGATAATTTCGCTGAATATAAGAGCCGCCTTTTTACATTTTTCCGTGACGCCTACATTCGGCAATAAACATTTTTTCAAATAGTTCTACTGGAGGAATCGGAAAACTTCCTTAACAAAAGTTTAATCATTTTAGGCGAGCTTTAATTTACTGACATTAGGGCGGTATGTTAGGGTGAGAGGAACTGATATCTGGTGTGTAATATATCACACTTAAAGAATTCACTGTAAACGCCGAAGATGTGATGAAAAATTTAATAACACGACTCCAACATTTGCTCAAAAAATAAATTCGAAATTGTTTTGCAAAAATTCTTTACACTCAGGGGTGTACGGCGATCTTTTTTTCTGGTACGGTCTAGTGTGGACAGACAGTTTCCGTACTTTCACCCGGACCCAAAGCTGCCCATTGTAAGTGCACTCAGCGAGTGCCGAGCGAAAGGGAAATCTCTCCTACCGGAATTCCATGTCCATAAAATGTTCAAAGTAATTTCCCACTGAACGACTTCGTATGCCAAATAAAGTTGAGGAAGTCCATTAGCTCCACGCTGCTGAATATATCTGCCAAGCTTGCAAAAAAGCATGACCCATCCCCTTTTGCTGGAGTCGTTTTGATTGTAGCTCTGAACATCGACACAGGACTTTTTACCTACGAGTTATTTAGTGTGAAACAAGGATTTCATTGCTTTGTCGGTAATCGAGTTGAGATGTGACTCCCAAGTGAGGTTTCTAACCAGGAGTATGTCTAGATATTTGCCTTCTTTTTTTAAGGAAATCCCAGTGTTGCTCATTTTTAGACCTGGAAAGCATAGCTTTTACTGTTGAGAGGTATGATAGTAGTTTTGTGGATCAATTGCAAGTTGTATTTAAGGCGTCTCGCATCAAGTGCCTAATGGTGCTTGCATGATTGCTGATGGATATATCCGGTTATATCTTGAAGTAGATCATCAACCGGTATAGACCATAACAGTGAAAATATGACTCTTCCCTGTGGACAGCCTTTTACTGCAGTGATATTGAGTTCTTCCGACCCTTGGTTCGCTTTTCTAGTTTTCTGGGTTAGCATATTGCCGATCGATTTTAGTATTTTAACCGCTACCATGGATTTCAAGCCTGCATTGTCAAAGCTACCCTTTATGTCCAGAAATGAGCAGGGGGCTTCTCTATGTCACTTACAGTAGTGTGAAGTGTTATAGTTGCTGACTTGCCTTTTTCGTAAGCAAATTGAAGTTTATATAGTGGAGTTCGAGAGAGTATATCCTCCCTTAATCCTTAACGCACAACAAATACCTTATACCAATCGAATTCCCCTTAATGTTGTGCTAATATAAAATGCAATTTGAATACTCAGACAAATACAATTGTTGAATGTTATGTATAAAATTAATTGGCATTGCTTATTTGATGGAATTTAACGCGATATGCGATGAACATAAACTTTCCGAATTTGCAATTAAAACTTACTTTCATTATTTATGGCTGATGTCGGCTGTTGATTAAGAAACTAGTAATAGAATATTAAATATAATTTGTGCATAATTGAGTATTGAGTTTAAACTGGAGCATATTAAATAGTAGTAGACCCTCTGTCGCTTTATGCCTAATATTGCAATAGAAACAGATATATGTACTAGCTATATACATATGTATGTATTTAGTTAAATGCATGAATGTATTGCCCGAATTATACATATTTGCACATTTTCTTGTTTAGACACATAAGTTGCGTTCCAGGTGATTCAATATTAGCAGGTTTTTACAGGAAGTCCTTCACGGTCGCCACCTTCCATTAGGTTTATTAATGACGAAAACAGCTTTTCCTGTAAATCCTGTAAAACCTGCCAATCGTGAAGTACCTGGAACAGGGCTATAGAACTGATGTTCCTTAGCTGATTGTTTGATACCTTAGTATTTAGGAGCTCATAAAATATGACGCCATACCTTTCCTTTTAAGTATTGTATTTCTGCTTCTCAAGTAGTTTGTGGCGAAGAATCACGAACCACATTGCATCAACGCAGAAAAGATAGATTTAGTACTCTGCAACAGAAAATACAACATTCATATCTGCTCTAAGGCTAAGCTGGAAGGTTGGGACTCTCCAGCTTAAGTAAAACCCCAAGTACCTTGGAATAATACACGATAGCCAACTGCCGTGGCGCCTCACAGGGGAGTAGAGCGCGAAGAAGGCCTCAAAGGCATTTTATGTATGCAAAAATATGCGGGGCTGTACCTGGGCCTTATCGCCTTCTCTTTCTCAATACATCTTCACGACGATAGGCAAGCCGTTACTGTTCCATGGGGTATTGGTTTTGTGGACAGCAATGGAGAAGAAAACATTTCCTAAAAGTATAGAAAGTGTAGTATGTATATAGGATATCCATTAGAAGCATGACCGGCGGAACAGTCCGCCAAGAATTTAGAGTAAAAACTGACATCAGGCTTAATGCTAAGGGCAGTTTGAGTGCAGGTCCTACGGGCACAGTAGTATACCGTCAACTTTATCCAAGTGGATTGACTACATGATCCCATTTCTGTCATTTAAGACGAATTCACTAGTCATTATATGTATAGGTCGAAGGCTTGTGTGAGGGTATGAGGAGTGCTGACTTGCTGAATGTTTATACAGAAGGGTAGAAGATGTGATTAGCTATTTACTGTGGTCCTAGTTAATGTAGTTACTAACGCAATAGACCTTAGGGAACGCTATTGTTAGCAGTTAAATAGCTGCCATATCTAGGGCAAAAAAGGGTTCCGCCGTATAATCCTCTTTAAGGCATGAATGGCAAATGGTATTGTCCTGTATCATACATATCATACATTTGTTTAAACCACGAGATCTGGCTAGTCCTACAAGTTGTCTGCAGGGTAAATACCCAGCTAGGCTTCCTGAGATTGACGTGGGTTTTGCTCACCTGTAGCCTTTCGACGCCTCCCAGTCATTGCTGAGTGAAATATTCACCCATTGTCCGACGGGGAAACTCTGAATAAGCAAAATAAGCAATTTCAAGCAAAAGCTTGAACTTGTGTGGAGTGACTGGGCACACAGGGTCAAAAAATTTTTTGTTATGTTTTGTAAAATCATTTAGTGGCGTATTGCATTACCGCACTAGTTGGGCAACAGTTAGAGGAGTGCCAATGTCTTGAGTGCAGTTCGGCTATCATTATAGACACGTAAAATCCCGCCTCCCTTCCTACGTAGTCCATGCTTGATTCTTATTTTCTTTATCTCAGGTAACTCAACATTGTAGTACCTCCTCAGTATTGTTCTGTGGCATTGAAAAGACATTAAAGTCTGCCTAGCATACGAGCACGCATTTTGTAATAGACTACGTGATCCCTCGTCTGACTTTCGAAGGGTCTCTGGAGGCTACAAAGTGGTTGACGGTTGGCGTAAGGGTGTGTAGTTGAAAGGGAACGCAACGCACATCTACATAGACAGCTCTAAAATGGACGTAGGAGTAGGTCCTTTAAGCTATCGGATTATTGCAATATCAATTAAGCCGAGGTTTTTGCAATAAAGAAAATGACAGAGTTACTACATGATATTACTCTGACAAGCGAGCGGATAAACTTTTACATAGATAGTCAGGCGGCCATCAAGGCTCTAATTTCATATAATACCAATTCGATCACCGTTACGGACTGTAAGGAGACTATAAAAAGGCTAGCAGCGGCTAAAACCGTCTACATATATTGGGTCCCACGACATAAGTGTGCGAAAAGTAATCAGTGAGCAGACAAGCTAGCTTAGGAGGGTGTCCTCTTAGACGTCTCACTACTCACGAATATACCAATTCCTTTTCCGGAAATCAAAAGATCACAAGATCTTCTCATATACCGCCAAGCAGATAGGCTTTGGATAAGGAATCATGGTTGCAAACTTACAAATATTATGTGTAGCTCATACGACAAGAATCTTACTGATTTCACTTTACTCGACAATGCACAGCTGCAGGGCCTGCATTCAGCAATCGACAAAGGACCAAAGTGTCTACTAATATTCGCTAAAGGAACGGCGATGCTCTTTAACATTGCGTGGAAGCACTGTCTCATGGGTCGGCTGTGAGGCCACGTAAGGTCAGCCATTATAAACTAACCTAACTTTGCTGATGTTCGGCTCTTTTAAATCAGATATGTATGTATCGAATATTCTAAGGTTCGGAAAAGAAAAAAATTTGGATAGAACTCCCAGTCCTATTAAAACCTTTCATGAAAACCAAAATAATATAAGAGACATTTTTTTCAAATATATATATATATATTTTTTATGCAGAAATATTCCTAGAGCATCTAGATGCTTTTCTGCATCAAAAGCAAAATTTTGAAAAAAATGTCGCCTACCTTATTTGGGCGGTTAGGGCTTCATGTAAATTGGATGTTTATTCTAAAACTGAAATGCTTTAGCTTTTGAAAGCCTTACAACTGGTTCAAAATATAAATATCGTCATTCCTGTAAAGGACAGTTTTATTCGATGCAGTCCTTAAGTTAATATACTTACATACATATATACATACGTTCCCATATCAATTACAAACTAACTTCCAAAATCCCCTTTTAAGCAGCTCGCTTTACGCAACTGCACTCCTTACAAATTCACTTAACGGACACATATTTGAGCAGCATCATCATAATACCCTACATATTGTCAGAATCAAGCGAGTACACCTTGTCCGTTTTCGGTAACTTAAATGCAATCCACTTATTGGGTTGACTTAAGCCCTAAAAGCGAAGTTGTGTG